CTGTATGTCTTCTTTGCAGAAATGTCTATTTAGATCTTCCACCCATTTTTTTGACTGGGTTGTTTGTTTCTTTGATATTGAGCTGCATGAGCTGTTTGTATGTTTTGGAGATTAATCTCTTGTCAGTTGCTTCATTTGCAAATATTTTCTCCCATTCTGTATGTTGTGTTTTTGTTTTGTTTATGGTTTCCTTTGCTGTGCAAAAGCTTTTAAGTTTAACCAAGAGTTTCTTAAACGACAGCTTTATTGAGACATAATTCACACTCCATACAATTCATCCACTTGAGTTATATAATTCAATAGTTTTCAGTATATTCACAAACCACCATCATCATCACCAATCATTTACAATCTAATTTTAAAATATTTTTTCATCCCCAAAGAATCCATTGTCCAGTCTAAAATCATGAAGATTTATGCCTATGTTTTTACCCAAGAGTTTTACAGTTTTAGCTCTTACATTTAGGTCTAAGATCCATTTTGAGTTAATTTTTACATATGGTGTGAGGTAGGGGTCCGAATTCATTCTTTTGCATGTGGATACAATTTTCCCAGTGCCACCGTTGAAAAGACCATTCTTTTCCCCACTGAGTGGACAGCCTTGTGAAAATCAATGAACCATAGATGAGAGGGTTTATTCTAGACTTTCAGTCCTATTCCATTGACCATCTATCCTTATGCCAGGACCCCACAGTCTTGATAACTGTAGCTTTGCAATAATTTTGAAATTGGGAAGTGTGAGCCCCTCAACTTTGTTCTTTTTCAAGATTGTTTTGGCTATTCTGGGTCCCTTTAATTCCCATATGAATTTTAGAATCAGCTTGTCAATTTCTGCAGAGAAGCCAGCTGGGATTTTTATAAGGGTTGGGTTGAACCTGTAGATCAGCTTGGGGATATATTGCTATCTTAATATTAAGTGTTCCAATCCATGAACATGGGATGTCTTTCCATTTATTTAGGTCTTCTTTCATTTCTTTCAGCAATGTCTTGTTGTTTTCATAGTATAAAATTTTGTATTTCTCAGTAAACGTATCACTAAGTATTTTATTCTTTTTGATCAGTTGCAAAGGGAATTGGTTTCTTAATTTCATTTTGCTTGTTTATTGCCAATGCTTAGGAAATACAATGGATTTTTGCGTATTGATCTTGTGTCCCGCAGCCTTGCTGAACTTGTTTACTAGTTTTAATAGGTTTTTTTTAGTGGATTCCTTAGGATTTTCTATCTACCAAATGATGTCGTGCAAATAGAGATAGTTTTACTTCTTCATTTCTAGTCTGGATGCCTTTTATTTCATTTTCTTGCCTAATTGCCTGGCTATAACCTCGAGTACAATGTTAAATAGGATTGTTGAGAGCTGACATCCTTGTCTTTCTCTTGATCTCAGGGGGACATCATCCAGTCTTTCACCATTAGGTATGATGTTAGCTGTAGATGTTCTTTATCAGGTCAAGGAAATACCCCCTATGCCTAGTTTGCTGAGTATTTTATCATGAAGGGATGTTGAATTCTGTTAAGTGCTACCACCAGGATTTGAAACCATGTCTTTCTGACTCCAGAGCCCTAATGCTTACCTGATAAACTAAATCAGGGGCCCCACAAAGGGGTCCCACATTGAACCCAGTAAAGAGCAGCCAGTCAGCAAATGGGGTGTTTCCATCTGCCCCTTTTCTCTTTGGCATTTGAAGTGAACTTGGGAAGAGACAGAGAGGGAAATGTTTAACTTGAAGGAATGCACAGAGACAGTGGACTCTCTGGCTTAGGGAAGAGTTTGTAGGGGAGATGTTTTGGAAATGGCTTGTAAGAATTTAACGCTGGGGACTTCCCTGGTGGCGCAGTGGTTGGGAGTCCGCCTGCCGATGCAAGGGACACGGGTTCGTGTCCCGGTCCGGGAAGATCCCACATCCCGTGGAGCGGCTGGGCCTGTGAGCCATGGCGGCTGGGCCTGCGCATCCGGAGCCTGTGCTCTGCAACGGGAGAGGCCACAACAGTGAGAGGCCCGCATACCGCAAAAAAAAAAAAAAAAAAAGAATTTAAGGCCGGGTTCCGTGAACTTGGCATGAGGAGTCCTGTGTACATACCGTGATGGGCAGTTGATGGTTTCTCTGGAGTTGTCTCAATGAAAACACAATGAAGCTAATTACCAGGTTCTGGGAGATACTGGGGTGGAGGTTGGGCTGTCAGGGAAGGAGGAGGAGGGTGGAAGGGTGAAGAAAGCCTACCACTCCCCTGCAAAAGGTGGGGATGTTCATTAACTGAACGTTTCACCCAACAAGCAATGAGTCACATCCACAGCTTGCCAGTCCCTGTGGTTGGCAGACACAAAAGAGACCCAGAACCTACTATGCCCCACCTCCCAATTCTAGTATTTTCCACCTTGTAGAACTTTGAGGCTTAAGCCGTGCTCCCAGGGAGAACATTCTCTCCTGTTTCCTCTACAGGCTTCGGCTTGCAGGAGGTCTTGGTTTGGTGTTACAGGATCTTTAATGCCCTTCTGACACTTGTCAACCCTCTGGGGCTGGCCAGAGGCTGCAACAATATCAGACTAGAATGTTCTGTTCTCCCTGTATTGATATTTATGATCACCTGGCTAGTCATCTTGGTTTTTCCATTGACAGTGGTCACATTTATCAATGCTTCTAGACTCTAGATGGTGTAACTCATTTCACCCTCCTAACAACCTTAGGAGATAGAGACTATTACTATCCTACATTGGCAGATGGACAAACAGGCACAGGTAAAGTGGGGAGACAGACAGAAAACAAGCAAACTTCCCCAGAGAGTAATCAGTCCCAAATTGTAATAAATAATCTGGTACTGAGATGAAGATAAACTTTGGCAGGATGGTCAGGGAGGGTCTTTCAGAGATTTGAAGGATGAGGAAGGTCCAGTCTTGGGAAAAGCAGGAGGAACAGCATCCTAGGCAGAGGGAACAGCCAGTGCAAAGGCCCTGAGGCTGGACTGTGCCTGATGTTTGCAAGGAACAGTGAGGAGGCTGGCATGGGTGGAATGGAGTGAGCAAGGGGTGCAGATGGAGGAGGTGAGGGCAGGGAGGTGATGGGGGCAGGCAGTGGGGGACCTTGTGGGCTGCAAGGAGGACTTGGGTTTTTACCCCAAGTGAGATATTATCTATTTCCTCCACTGGACTCAACTCCTGGAGGGCAGGAATTTTTTAGCCTTTTTGTTTATTTCTGTGCCCCAGCCCTAAAAACAGCCTGGCACACAGACTGATGGCCTGAATGGGTTGGTTTCCTGCACCATATTTTACAACTGTTTCCCGTTGCCGCTCACAAGAACTCTCAGAGGTAGATGTGTTTGTACCCTTTTTGCAGATGGTAACAGTGAGCCTCTGAGTGACTTGTTCAAAGTCCCTCTCCTAATAGGTGGCAGGGCTGAGTGTGGCTCATGCCATGTCCAGCCCCTCCAGAGCCAGCAGTCTCATTTCACTCTACCTCCATCGAGTATGCAAGGCTTGAGCACCTACTGTGTACCTCAAATCAGCTAAGCGTTTGTGCACAGACCATCCCATTTGATTCTTCAAGATGAGGCTGTTTCCCAATTGCTTGGATGAGAAAACCAAGGTTAGATTGTCAATGGCTAGGTCAGGGTCACACTGCTAGGAAGGAGGACAAAATAGGTTCTGCAAACCTGCACTGGCCGCTGGGAAACTCCAAGCTTAATTTAGGTTCCTTGTTGAATTATTCATTCTCTTCCTCTCTTTTCTCCTATTTATGACTTCCGCCTTCTCATTTTGTTCCCTGAGTTAATGCCTTTTGTTTATATCTGCATCTTTGGCCAGGAATGAATGAATCAATGGTTTTGGAGGAAAAAACCCCAAATTCTAAACTTGAGTCGTTTTGTGGGGATGAGGCCCTCTCCAAACACATATCTTGGAGAAATAAAACCCTTCCAGCAGGTTCAGAATACAATAATTTTATGTGCAATCTTGTTTGGTGTCTTTGAGCCCTCCCACCCTCCGTGGTAATCTTTCTGTTTTTCTTTTCTTTTTTTTCCTCTTCTCATTATCCCATTTTCAAGCACCAACTACAGGCCAAGCAGGCACAGTATCACACTTCATCCTTACACTCTCTTGTGAGCAGCAGACACCTTGCCCCATTTCACAGATGGGAAACTGAGACCCAGAGAAGCAAACCCATTTTGCAGGTGGGAAAGCTGAGGCAGGGCCCCACACAGCAAGTTAGTGTTTGAGCTGGGGTTCCTACTTTGGTTTGTCCTGCCTCAAGGGCAGCAGCTGATGGTAATTAGAAGAGATGTTTGTAAAGTGGTTAATCTGCAGGAAATGTTCCCTCACTCATTCCCTTATTCATGCGGCCAAGACACAGGGATCTCCAGGCCCCATGGAGATCCACACCCTAGCATGACCAGAATTAAATCAGGACAATGGCACAGAGAATGGAGCGTGGGGTGGCTGATGGTCATGGTCAAGGAAGGCTCCTCCCAGGAGCTGCAGGTTAAGCAGAGACGGGAAAAAAGAGAAGGGAAAGATCTTGGGGGAAGACTTTTCCAGGTGAAGAAACAGCAGGGACAAGGGCCCTGAGTCAGCAGTGAACAGATTGAAAGAACTGTAAGAAGCTGGCTTGGCTTAGGTATGGACACCTGGAGGCAGAGTGATGGGTGCGAACGCAGAGAAATGGGCCCCCCAGAGGGGGCTGCATTTTACACGGAGGGCACTGGGGAGCCATGGCAGAGTTTACAGCAGCACATGGCAAACACCACGGCCTTTGGGCCAAGCGCCCTGGGGCTAGCGGGCGGACCCGCGGACAGACGGGTATCCCGGGCTGACGCCGCCACCCACGTGTCGCGCGAAGCCCCACGCCCCACGTGCTCCCACAGCCCTTTAAACGCCCCGGGCCACGTGACCCCGCCGAGCCGCCTCATTGGCCGAGGGGCGTGGCGACTACGCGGCTGCGCAGTGACACGCCCGTGCCGGCCCCGCCCCCAGCCGGCGGCGGCGGCGCTAGCGGAAGGGATGACGTCACCGGCTGGGGGGGCGCGCGAGCCGGCGCGAGGGGAGCGCGAGCCGCAGTGAGTGTCCTCGCGCCGCCCGCCCGGCAGCCCGGCCGGCGCGCGCACGCCGCGAGCCGCTGGCGCTCGGGCTCCGCTCGAATCCCATGCAACAGCCAGGATGTGAAGCGGGGCAGAGCCGGGGGAGCCCAGCCCAGCCAGCCTCCAGGTAAGGGGGGAAAAAAATCATGAATTCGATTTTAAAAAATGCAGGCGCTCCAATGGGGTTCTCGGAGGCAGCGGAGTGGGCAAAGCGCCGGCTTTGTGCCGGGGAAGCCTACACGGCCATTGTGCTTGGAGGATGCTCCGCTGCAGCCGGCTGCACGCCCAGCCGCTGAGCCCGGCAAGCTGCGTCCGAACAATGCCCCTGAGGGGCTGGGCCGGGGCAGACAGGGGCAGCAGGAAGGGCTCGGCGGGCGGGGTGGGGGGCTTCGCCGCGGCGGGGGAGGGGGCTGGGCTGGACTCGCCCGGAGCGCGGCGTTGGAAGCTGCCCAGCGCCGCCGGCTGCACCACCCCGGGCTGCGGGCGGGGCAAAGGCGCGGAGGGAGGACGCGCGTGTGTGGGGAGGGGGTGCTGGCCCCAGCGGCGCCCGGCCAGGCTCCCCGGCCGGGTCCCGGAGGCAGGGAGCGCCCCGGAGTGGAGACCAGCCCGGGACAGTCGGCTCCCGGTGGGAGCGAGGGGGGCACCGACTGGCCGGTGCTCTCAGGGCCGCTGCTGTGCCCGCCACCTTCGCTCTCCAATTCCCCTCCCCTAGAGAACCCCCTACTCAATGCTGTCTCCCCCTAGCGCCCTCCCGGCCTCATCTATCCTTTGGTGGGGAGCCTTCCGCTACCTTAGCCTTGCCCCACCCTACTGTGGCCCCAGCTCCCCCTCCCAGTTTCCCCAGGTGGGGCAAGGCAGCCCCCAGCCCCAGGGACTCTGGCGGACGGGCGGGCGCGCGCGCCCGGCCCCCGACCTCCCTTCGGAGCTGGGGGCCCCGTGGGGATCCCGGGAGAGGGGAAGCCGCCCCTGGAGCTGCCAGCCTCGCGGGTTCTGCACGCCCCGGGAGCCCCCTCGGGGGCTGGGGGGAGGGGCGGTGACGTCATCCCGGGGGCGGAGCCGTCTGAACCAGGTTGAAGGGGGTGCGGGTGGAGGGGCGCCGTGCCCGAAGGGAAGCCCTCCGAGTTCGAGCGCCCATACTCTGAGCGCAAGGGTTTTGGCCGGGTTGCGGCCAAGTTTACTGCTCCTTACGGAAATCACTCCCAAATTTAGAATTCCACCCTCCCCCCGTCAGCACACAAACAAATCCTGGGCACTTACCCCCACGAAACTCCCCCTAAATCAGAGAACTCTCCTTCGGCTGCCTTCTCTCCAAAATTCTCAAATCAGAGAATCCACCCCAAAGTGGAATCTTTTTTTCAGCCACACCCCCCCAAATCTGGAGCCTCCTCTTTAGTGATTCTTCCCCGATTTCAAATCCTCCTCTAGTAGCCCCATAAATAAGCAGCTTTTGAGTGCCCTTTCCTCTGCAACCCTTCCTCAAATTTAGCCACCCCCTAGGGTCCTCATCCCCCAAATTAACAAACCTCCCCAGCGCCTTCATCTGGGGGGTGCCTCCCCTCCCCCTCTCGGGCTCAGCTGGGATTCCCCTTTCCCCCATCTCCATCTGGGGGAGTCTTCATTCTGAGTGTGGGGCCCTTCTGCCTCTGGCCAAACCCCTGAAAAACCAGCCTGGCCCCCAGCTCGCGAAGAGGTGGGTGGGCGTCTGAGGTGTCCAGGCTGGGTATTAGGACTCTGAGAAGCGGGGACAAAAGCCGGAGGGTCCCCGAGGGTCCCGAGGACAGGGACCCACCTGCTCTGGGTTCCCATTGGTCTCCTTGCGCCCCCCCCCCCAGGACTTTGGCTGCCGGGGTTCTAGTCTTCCCTTGATGTTCCCCATTGTTGCTGTTCCTGGGGTGCAGGGGGCAAGGGTTCCTTTTGTTTGGGGTGCCCCGCTTCCCCCTCTGAGCCACCTTGCGCCAGTGAGAAGAGAGAGCCAGCCCGCGCCTCTACTCCTGTGATACCAACCGCCGCTGCTGGAGCTTTTATTAATCGCTGAGGGACTCTGTCGATTCTACCATTTGCATAGCTCCCCTCCCCCTCCCAGGGTCCCCTTCCTTTGTGCCCCCTCCCCCTGCCAATCTCGCCTACCTTCTGTCCCTCAGCTCTCTTCTTCCTCTGCCAGCTGATACTTTGGCTGCGGAAGGCAGGCAGCTGGGGCTGGGGGGCGGCTGCTTCCCACCCCCCAATCCTAGAGCCCACCAACTTGGGCCTGGGTCTCTGGCTGGCTCCCCTTACCTGCCCCCCACAATGCCCTCCAAGAGGCATCTCTTGATGCCTGCTGTTGTGTCTCCATTCTTCCCCCTCCAGAAAGCTTCGTCTTGCCCGGTGCCCGGGCCTGGGGGGCACCTTCACCATGACGGTGCACTTCTGCCTGGGGCCCCGGCCCCCCCCAGCCCCCTGGGGGCAGCCATCCGCCATACTCGATTGCCCTGAGAGTTTGGTATAATTGGGCACAGGCAAACAAAACGTCGCGGGAGACCCGGCCTGCCTGGTGAGCTCCTGCGCTTTTCTATTCCTGCCACCCAGCCGATGACATTGGCCCCACAGGGGGGGACGGGGGCTGGTGCTGTCATGTCGGTGGCCATCCTGCGAGGAGAGGCCACGCCTGGCCCACTCCTCACCCTCTGCGGGGACAGGGGGATGGGTCATTCTGGCATGGCCGGGGTGTGGCATTGGAGGGTGCTGCTGGGGTGTGGGCTGGGCTCCTTGGGGGAACCCTCCTCCCCCAGGGACCCTGGCCTTGTGGTGGGCACAGAAAGAGGAGCACTGCCAGCCAGGCGCCTGCCTGCTGCCTGCACAGGAATCATCGCCCACTGACCGTGCTTCTGTTTCTAGCCCCTTGCAGCATTCCAAGCACCTTTCTTTTTCCCCAGGGGATCCTGGGCATCTTCACATATCTGTGGGCCCCATTCAGAGACATGGGGCATTTTTTCCCAACACTAGGGCTGTGGTTCTGGGCCGAGGTGTCAGGACCAGGTGGAAGGGGAGAAGCTCCCTGGATGTCAGGGATTTAGTTGTGGCATCTGGGGGGACAATTCTGGAGCCATCACTGGGCGCTCATTTTCTTCTTTGGGCTGCTCAGAGTGTGGGGCTTTGCCTGGTATTCCCTAGACCTGGGACGGGTTGGGGAGACAGATCCACTTCCCCTCAGCAAACGGCTTTCCAGGGGTGACTCGATTTCCCCTCCTGCCTTCTGGGTTGGCACTGAACAGCCTGTCGCAGGTGTTGGAGCACAGCGCACCTCCAGCTGCCGCTCCCAGGAGCCAGGCGCTAGGAGACCTGTGGCTTCGCTGATTGCTCCACCAAACAATGGTCAGCGAGGTGGCTGGGAAGGGGCAGGCAGGAATGGGCAGGGACTACGTGGCTCTGAGGCGCGGCACCCGGGAGCCCCGGGTTCACCTGCTTCGCGTGACTTTAGTGTAGCCATTGCGTATGGGGGGAGTGGGGGGGGCATTGAGAGACTTCAGGATGGGGAGGAAAACCCTAAAAATAAAGACGGATATTTATAAACCTGGCGGGTTTGGGGGATAATTGACAAAGCTTAATGTTTGCAGCTGAAAGCTATCCCCGCCCCACCCACCCCCACCCCCAGATGGAGCTGCATTAGGTTCCATTAGTAGAGTCATCTGGAGCCTGAGAAAGGTCCTTGGGAAGTGCAGTGGGCTTGGCCAGCACGTTGCGGGCCGTGGCTCCCTTTCTGGGGGTAGAGGGAGGGCTTGTGCTTCTGGAAAGAGGCAGGAGGCCTAGGCAGGGGTGCTGAGATGCCACCCCGCTTTCCTCTGCACCTAGGACGGCCTCCTGGCACACCCTCCGTGGGTGGGTGGCCTGTTTCCCAGAATTTGCAAGGAGGAGGTGCCCCTCTCTGCCCTTGCCCTGTCCTTCCCCGCTACAAAATATGCCTGGCGGGGGAGTGTGGAGAGACCCCAGCTGCCCGCCACGCAGGGGGGCTCAGCCGCCAGTGGGGACAGTGGGCAAGATCCAGGTGCCAAGCTGACAAAACCCCGTGTGGGTCCGTGGACAAAAGTCACACCACTGCGCTGGGGAGAATGAGGGCTTTTCAGATGGTTTCAAACATTTTGTCTGACTTCAGCCTGGAACAAGAAAGCTCCTGGCTTATAGCCGGAGAAGATGGGGTGTTGGAAGGGGGTGAAATTCAAGCTCATGTCAGCCTGTCACCAGGAGGACGGACAGCCCGGACACGGGCAGATCTTAGCTTGGGATGCACAGGAAGCGGTGATACCTGGGTCTGCTGACCCAGCGGTCCAACTTGTCACCCCCTCTGGCCTTCTAGAAGCTCGCGGATTTCGAGTGTGGTTTGTGGGTTTTTTCCCCCTTCTCTCTTTTTTCTTTAAGGAAAGCAAAGGCACACACACACACACACACACACACACACACACACACACAAAGGGAAAAAAAAAGAACCCCGACGTACCATTTCTGTCTTGTCTCTGATATTTCAGAAGCGTTGTCGGGGGGCGGGGGGCGGGGTGTTGTGTGTGGGGAGCATGAAAAAAATCAATTGGCTTACACTTCTGCAAAGGCGAAAATTAACAGGCGGGTGGGAGTGACTCACGGACAGGCCCCGACTTTCGTGTTGCTTTATTTTTGTCTCTCTTCTCTCTCCCCTCCTCTGAGGAGCTGCCGATACCGCTGCCCCTCCCCCGGGTCTGGCCAGGCTGGACCTGGGGGTTGGTGCTATTCCGGGCTGGCCGTGGAATCCCGGGCTGGCCGTGGAATCCCTCTCCTGTTCTCGGAATCGAGGCGCCCTCCCAGTCCTGCGGAGGCCAAAAGGATTCCAGACCTGAAAACACACCGAGGTTTCTTTCCCCGGAGATCCCCATACTCATTCCCATGGATTCCACCCTGATCTGGGGCTTGGAGCTTGGGTTTCTGGGTCACAGTGACCCCGCTCCCATAGATACCCTTTTTTTGAAGCAGATTTTCTCCAGAACTCCCTGGATGGTCCCTGTGGCTTTTGAGTTTTTTTCGGTTTGTTTTTTGAACTCTTTGCTATTACATTAGTCCCCTGTAGGAAGGCCAGGCGTCTCCTCCTAGGGAAACTGAAAATCCCGATTTTTTTGTTTCCTG